AGAGTCCCAGCGCCGTTTCTATGGTTACCTGCTCAGTACCGATTCAAACTGCCGTTCTTTATTGACAGCGCCATCGAGGACACGAACACTCCTGCCCGAAGGGAACAATAAAGCTTTCTCCATTCAACAGCGCCAGAGACGCCAAAAGGGAGCCATCTTGGGACCGGGGACGCTGAGGGGGGAGAGGCCCGGATGTGCTCACGCCGCAGTCACGTGCTGCGGGTGGTCTCGCGAGAAGGCGGCGCCTGCATCACGCGAGCACGCTCCACCAGTGGTAGCGCCCCAGGACAAGGAAGCGACCAGTTTTGTTCTTGACCTCTCACCTTCGCCACGGTTCCTCGGGAGAAGAAAGTTTGCCCGGGCCACTCTGAGGTTAGCAGCAGCGAGGGGACAACCAAGGTTTCCTTACGTTTTCCATAACAACAGACGTGGTCACGTGCGGGGCGAGGGCGTGGCTAACGCCAGGACTGAGCTTGGCGTGGCGGTCACACGTTTGGGTATCGGATCCATTGGCACTGGCCGGTGAACGCTGTCCCCGCGTCACATGCAGACCTTTTTGTCCCTGCTGCCGATGCCCGGATCCCAGCTCCCTCTGTGATGACAGCCATTCTATCGGCAGTGACAACATTCACTGGTCCCCAGCGCTGTTGCTGTCAGCTGGACTCAAACCAGAAATTCAATCTATCGAGCAGAGCTGTCGCTCGAATCGCTGCTGTCACCTGGCCTGTCGTGTTTACTGTCACTGTGCCTTTTGCACATGCTGCCAGGGACTATAAACTTCCAACTGTTCTGCCCATTAGGACGCTCTAGGCAGCTGTTCATTTCTGTTGTGTTAAAATACCCTGCCAAAAGCAACACACTGAGTCAGGCTTGGTGGCCCGCTTTGCAGGCAGAGGCAGGCAGATCTCTGTGAGTTTGAGGCTAGCTTGCTTGTTCTACAGAAGTTCAGGACGACATAGTAAGATGGAGGAGGAGGAGCATCAAAGGGAGAAAGATATAATTCAGCTTATAATTGCAAGTTAGACCATCACTTTCGAGAAGTCAAAGCAAGATAAGAACTTAAAGGCAAGACCAGGATGCATCACATCCACAGTCTAAGAGAAGTGAAACACACACGCTGATTTGCTTGTGCTCAGTTGAATTTCTTACACAGTTCAGGGCCCCTTGTCTGGGGGGTAGTGTTGGCCACAGTGGACTGGGCCTACTGACAGTGGTTAACTCAAGATACCCTCACCACACACACACACACACACACACACACACACACACACGGAGAGAGAGAGAGAGAGAGAGAGAGAGAGAGAGAGAGAGAGCAACCCAGTGAAGACCATCCCTTAGTGAGGCACTCTCTCACTAAGATGAGTCCAGGTTGTGTCAGGTTGATAACCCTAAACATCACACCAATTGTCATCTGTCACTTGTTTACCCCTGCCTGGCACAGTGACCTTTTGAGTAACTCTCACTGTTATCCTCACAGGTCACCATCAACTTCAGCATCAGATTTGTCCCTTTTGTAGCCTCTAGATCTTCACCTACGGCTATGGTGACTACTGATCCCCCACACCCTGCAGCCCCTGGTTCACTTGTAGCATGAGCCGCACAATGTAGAATGTCGGGTTCAGGAAACACCTATGCCCGTGCTCAGTACATTGGTGCTTCACGAGTAGGTACTCAATTTATGGATCTTTAAAAAGCAGTGGCTACTGTGCGTTATGTTAATGTGGTTGGCTTGCATCTCAAGCAACAGAAAGAAGTTTTAAGTTCTTCTGCTCAACCAGGCTCTGCCTCACATAAGAAGTAAAAGGAGAGATCACAAGAAAAGAGGTCACCATGTACATGGAATTTTCATGACTGGTGACAGAAAACGGGTTTTTCCTTCCAGTCCTGGAGATCAAACCCAGAGCCTTGCAAATGGTAGTCAAGGGCTCTACCACTGAGCTGTATCTCCCAATCCGAAGAATAGGATTTTTAAAAAGCTTTTTTCCTATTTTAAAAGCAATACATGGGATCAGGCAAAATGGCTCATCAGGTAAAGTAACTTGTCACCAAGGCAGATGACCTGAGTTCCATCCCCAGGGCCCTACATGCTGAAAGAAAATAACTGACTCCCACAGATTGTCCTCTGAACTCCACACATGCTGTGGCACATGCCTATCCATACACAAATAATCTACATGCAATAAAAAGACTACATGGCCAGGAGATGGGGCAGTGAATAAAAGCTGTTGTAACACAAGTCTATCCTGAGGTCAATCACCAGCACCCTCGGGGAAGGAGAGAACCAACTCTAGAGATCCTCTGACCTCCACATATGTGCACTGAACTCACACACATAGGTACACTTCATATATGAATAATGAAAAATTAGGATAATTGCTAGGAGTGGTAGTGCACACCTTTTAACTCAGCACTTGGGATGCAAAGGCAAGCAGATCTCTGTGAGTTTGAGGCCAACCTTGTCTACAAGTTCCAGGATAGTCAGGGCTCTGTTACACAGAGAAATCCTGAGTGGCTCAGAGGTTGCTCTTCCAGAGGTCCTGAGTACAATTCCCAGCAACCACATGGTGGCTTACAGCCATCTATAATCAGATATGGTGCCGCCTTCTGTTGTGCAGGCATACATGCAGGCAAAACACTGTATACATAATAAGTAAATACATCTTAAAAAAAAGAAAATTCCACACCAGATCTGTGGCAGATTTCAGTTAAAACAGGTGACAGGTCTAGAGAGCAATGGCTTAGTGGTTAAGAGCACTGGCTCTTGTAACACAGGTTCTAATAGGTCTTAATAATAAAAGCCTGGAGTCAGATATAGGAGAAAATAGGAGTCAGATATAGGAGAGATCAGAGAGAAGAAGGAGCAAGCCAAAGCCACCTTTACCTCACTAGCTTCTCAGAGGAAAAGAGCAAGTTCTTGTTTCCTCCTGCCTATATTCCTTTCTCTGCCCAGCCATCTCACTTCCTGTCTATCTGTACAGACCTCCAGACCTCTATGGTTAGCTAGTGGCAAGTTCTACCCTCTGATCTTCAGACACGCTTTATTTGTATAAACAAGGTATCACCACAGGCTGTTCTTCCAGAGGACCTGGGTTCAATTTCCAGCACCCACGAGGTGGTTTACATCCATCTGTAATTCCTGTCCCAGGGGATCTGATTCATGTCTTCTAGCCCCTCAGGCAACAGGTACCCACACAGTATACAAGCATACATGCAGGTGAAACACCCATACACATACACATACACAAATGTGTGTACTGACCATCTGATTTTATATAGCCTTCAGTCTATGTATATAAGGTGTACATGAAGTACCCATGACTTTCTGATCCAGTACCTATGATTTCTCATGTATGGAGAATATTCCAAATACAAACATTCCAAACCTGAAATCCAGAATACTTCTTGTCTCAAGCAACTTGCATGAGACATTTTTTAGAATATCTTTTTACTTATTCTTCGGCAATTTCATACAGGTAAACATCTTGACCATATGCACTGCCATTCCCTGCTGCCACTCCCCTGAACACCCCCTTCCAACTTCATACCTTTTTAAAAGAATTTGTAACCCACTGAGTACAATTAGTGCTGCCTTATGGAATCCTGACTAATCCTGTGCAGGTAACCACGAGTTCATGGGTGCAATGTCATGTCATGTCCCAAAGACAGCATTACAGCATTACACAGTGTACATGAAGGCAGAACACACACACACACACACACACACACACACTCTCTCTCTCTCTCTCTCTCTCTCTCTCTCTCTCTCTCTCTCTCTCTGTAATAATAAATCCACCAACCCACCCAAGCCCTGCTGCCACATGGGCATCCAAATTAACACAGTGAGACTTACATTAGGTACAATGCTGCTGGCCAATGACTAGGATTTCTTTTTTAAAAAATATTTATTATGTATACAGTGTTCTGCCTGCATGTGTCCCTGCAGGCCAGAAGAGGACACCAGATTACATTGCAAATGGTTGGGAATCACCATGTGGTTGTTGGGAATTGAACTCAGGACCTCTGGAAGAACGGGCAGTGCTCTTAACCCCTGAGCCATCTCTCCAGACCAGGATTTCTTAATCTATATATTTTATAAAGACTTATCTTATCAAGGACACTGGTGGAATGCGCCCTTTTTCCAGGATCACATGGCAGCTCCACAGAGAAGAGAGGAGGAAGAGGAAGAGAAAGAGAGTGACTTCCTGCTTGTCCCTGCTTATATTCTGAGTCTGCCTGCTATGTCACTTCCTGCCTAGATCACAAGACTTCTCTTTACTACATTTCCCAGAATCCTCCTCAAGTCCTAGTCCTGCATAACTTGCTTCCCTATTGGCCAACAGTACTTTATCAACCAATAAGACAAACATATACACAGAAGGACCTCCCCCATCATCTCCTCTTTTCTGACTAAATTAAAAGAAGGGTGTTAACATTAACATAGTAAAATATATAACAAAACAGTTATCAAGAACTATAGTTACAATATTTAGTCCATTAACACTTAGCAAGATTTAAAGAAAATATTCTATCATCTATCCTATTTTTGTGAGTCTAAGGTTTTATATGTAGCTTATCTTTTATAATAACTAAAGAAAACTATAACTGTCTTCAACTCCATCAAAGACCACAGAAGGATAATATACAAACTCTAGCACTGGCAGAGACATCTTGCTGCCTGGACATTCACCTGAAGTTCCTCTGTAACATTGGGGTATCCATCTTCAGCCTATAGGCCACAGTGTGTCTGGCAGACTTCTCAGTGAAGCAGGAACCCTTCAGGACTGTCTTGTTTTGCAAGCTCAGCAGTCACTTTCCTGCAGGTCCTGCATGTCCAGTTTATCAAACAGTCCAGGCAAGAGCAGTTTCTTGCCCAAATGGCTATTCTTGCCATGTTGAAGGCAAACTCCATGACGAATTTCTTCAATGCCCATCCTCCTTTCTGCTGTAATTGGTGTGCCAGGAGCGGTTGTGTCTCGCTGTCATGAAAAATCCTAAACCATTTAAAATTCCATATATTCTGTAGGTCTTTGAAAGGTTTGAAGAATATCTATCCATCTCAAATACATCTCTGTATATCTAGAAAACCTAACTAACCTAACTGTAAGTTTTGACTATTATACCTGACTATATATAATCTGTATTTAATTATGCATTACATTTTAAAAGATCTGTTTAAACAATACCTAAACAAGAGGAGAA